GAGTGAGCAGGAATGAGAGTGGGGTAAAAGTGTGGATTAAAATTTACATTATAAGATGTGATCAGAATCAAAACAGGAAGTCCTCACGATGGTGGTGGTGGGGGCATTTAAAAGCATCAACAGCTACAAAGAGCAGGAACATAAAAAAAAAATCAGCTGAAAAACTAAAATCATCATCATCATCATCAAATGTGGGAAAAAAATATAAATCAGCTGAAGGTCCAGTGTTTGAAGTTAATCCAGTGACGTTTCCAGATCCAGTGGCTACATCATGTAGTGTTAGCGGGTTTAAACGCGCTGCACTGCGTGATCTCTTATATTCGAACACTTCAAGCTTATATCTCGTCCGTCCATCATCCAGTGTCGTTCAGCAGCTTCACACAGAGGAAAGCTCAGAGATCCAGCGGTTTGCACTGCCGGTGCTTAAACTCAGAACCAGGGCGAGACCTTCCACCAGAGTCTCAAAGCAGGCAGTGATGCTGCCGACAGCGCTTTGGGTGACTGGATGGACTCGGTAAAGGCAGGTTACTAACGTGGTGCACAAACAGGAGATTAAAAATAAGGTTTTCTTAATACTGAGGCTAAAATGTTTGTATACACCATTTTACAAAGACTAAACTCGACGCCATGAGATCATTAAAAAAAAAAAGTACTTCATATTGCTGATCTGTGTAGCTACGGTTGTGGTCGCGGCGGTTTTTCAAGCTGCCTCTTCTTTTGCGTTTTCAGACGGCCTGCGTGCGGGTGGGTGAAGCGGGAAACCAGGCGGGAAGATGAAGAGCGTGATGGCGGCCGCTCGTTTCTTCATCAGAGCTCAGTGGTCAAGAGACCTCTGGGTTTGGCTCCATCTTCTGAGGCTGGCGGCTGAGCCACAGTGCTGTGGACGAAGGAGTGGAAGAGACGGTCAAATTACTGCCTCAGAAAAGAAAAAACGTTTGTGTGCAGGAACCAGTTTTATGAGTCACAAGTTTGAAAAAAATCAAAAAACTGCTAAATTGTGAACACGCTGCAGTCTGACAACCTGCGACAACTTAATAATAGCTTTATAATTTTACCTCGTTCAATCAACAGG